AATGTGGTGCTTCTGATACAGCACAGTGGCTTTCTGGCAACTAATCTCGAAGTAAAGAAACTGATGAAGCATCCGATAAGATATTTAAAAAAATGATTCCAGAGAAAGGCAGGGAAGCATGAGCAGCTGTTAAATAGGAAAAATGCCGCTGATTAGAAAGGGAGTCTACAAAGACTTAGCATGGAAAAGAACCAAATAGAAACTTTGGAACTGAAGAAGTTAACAAGTCAAATAAAATACAGCTGAAAGACTTGACAACAATCTAAAGCAGAAAGAAATTCTGAGCTTAAAGACATCTCCTTCGAATTTCCCAATTGGATGGAAAGAAAATTAAAAAGTAGAAGAAAAAAACAAAACAAAAACCCGAGACAGCAGGCCATGCCACACAAACAGACATCCGACCCTTAGGAGCTGAGAAGGGGAGGTGTAGGATATGTAAAACAGTCGCCCTAGACTTCCCTAACCTTGGGAAAGATGCAGTCACTGGGTTCAGGAGCTACAGTACAGAAGACTCAACCCATTTTCAGTGTTTCTTATGAACTTGACGGTATCAGCTCCGCAGCCTGAATGTGACTTCCACTCTGCTGGTCTCCATGCAATTTAAGATTGTCTTCTGTGTGATGTGAAAAATAATTGCAAATTTGAACAGAGGGATTTTTATGATCTTTAATGCATGTTCGTTTTGAGAATGGACTTTGGACTGGCATATTCTGTAAGCATTTCGCTATCAAGATGATTACAGCTCTTTCTCATGTTTCCGCTCCTTCTAGTGTCCACTGTAAATAGAAAAATGATGGAAAACCTGGGTGGGAAGGAATAAGGCTCTTCTCTATGTTAAAAAAGGAGACAAGGAAGAGCCAGGCCTAAATCCTAAAGAATTTTGTTTTGTGGTTTTCTTCTTATCTTGTTAGTTCTCAATTGTAGCAAAACCATTAGAGATTACTGAGGAATAATAAAAATGACATCCCCCATCCCCTATCCCATAGTTACTGACCTGGGACGGGGGACAAGGCTTGTGTGTAAACGGAGACACTGCTTTGGTTTCCCAGCTGCCCAGACCCAAATAACCACACAGAAATTTTATTAATTACAACACAGTTTGGCCTATTAGCTCAGGCTTCTTATTAACTACCTCTTACATCTTAAATTAATCCATTTCTATTATTTTATATTTTACCAAAAGGCTCATAGTTTGTTACCTTTTGCTTCTTGGGTGGCTACATGGTGTCTGCCTGACTCCGCCTTCTTTCCTCCTCTATCTCTGCTTAGCCAAGACATTTTTAATATAAGACTTAGACTCCTTAGGATAGGATAACTATTGAAACATTTAGCATATGTTTCTTACTTGATGTTTTTCATGCTGGTTGTAATTCTAATTTTTATTTATATTTTTGCCTCTTCTTTTTGCTGTACAATACTTGATATTTGTTCTTATTGTATATAGTTTTGTATTAGGCTTTGAACCCTCTTATTTAGACCAAAGGGGGAAGTGTTGTGGGAACTCCTTCAGCCAATAGCCTTTTAGATACCGGAGCCACTTTGGGCGTAGCCCCAGGTACTATACATGCATGTGCAGCCTCTTTTTCTGCTGGATTTCCTGCCTTACTATATTCTTCCCTGCCATAGCCCAAAGCAGCTTCTTTATTAACAAATGCCAATAAAACATAGTTACAACATACAGAGGGGAAATCCCAAATCACTGTGTGTCATTGTTTCAAAAAGAAAAGTGACTCCCAGATGTAACTCCAGTGTGCATCCTACATGGAAACCAGTAGCTTTGGGGTTTTTCTAGGTTTGGTTTTGCTTACAGCAGTTCTCATCTTGTGGGTCATGACCTTTTTGGGGTTCAAACCTTCTCTGATTTTCTTGTGGAAGATAGGACCAATTTCCCAGAGAAAATATGCCTGATTTATTTATTTCTCTATAAGTGGTCACCACTGAAAGCCTTAAATTGGCCTTATTAGGTTTATAATCCCATTATGTGGGTTTATGGTAAAATCTTAAATGGCCATCTAGTGTGTGTCTTGTGTATACTCTATATTGGCCTCCTCTTCTGGTGGGCACTGCAGGGGTAACACCTCCCCTGTGTGTGTGCAGAAGCGGCATCACACTGGAGATTGCTTCTTAAAACTATGGCTTCATTTGGGAACTTTTATTCTCTGATCCACCGTTTTGTAGGAAATAAACTTCTTTTGAGAAATGGTGCTATATAGAGGCCTTAGCGGGGAGCTGGTGTTTGCAGCTGCAGCCATGAGGAATGGTACTCTATTCTCCTCAGACTGTGTTGAGATCAGTGGCTGCCCTGGCTGATATGAGGGCTTACAGGCAGAGGCCTAGATAATTATAAGACAAAAGAGCTGTTGTTTAAGGTTATTAAATTTTCATGTTATATGCCATAATAACTAATACATAACTGTATCCAGGCAGAGAAAGAAATAATCATTGTTCATATAACGATACAGGCTTTCAGGAAGCCTGTGATGGTAGCTGGAAATAGGACCATGTCAGCCAGGAAGCAAGCGGGAAACCAAGAGATACCTTCTCATGAGAGTAATTGCCTAGCTCCTTGAGAGATGGTTCTTTCAAAAGAAATCACAAACATGGTAAGATAGTAGAATTTTATTATTCCTCACTTCCTGTTAAGTCTCAATTCATGAGAAAATAAATCTTTTTGATAAATTCTTCAAAATTAGAGAGCAGAAGGGAGCCTCTGGGAGTCCAATAGAATACATCGCTGTCACCGAAGATCAAACCTTTATTGAATGTGGTAGAATGAGCAAAAACTAACCTGCCAATATCACTGAAAGAGTTATATGTGAGGCTTTAATGAGATATTTCATAGCAAGAACATTCTAAGAACCCTAACCATCTGCTTCAAGGGTATCTTAGAAATGGTCACACTTGATAATCATCTGATAGTCACATGGGCCCATGTTCATTCTGATGGATTATGGTTGACACACACACACTCACACACACACACACACACACACACACACACACACACACACGGAGGAGGAAGAGAAACGTTCAGAACTTGAATGTCTTCCTCTAGCACTCTCAACCTTATCTTTCGAGACAGGATCTCTCTCTGTGGTCCCATAGATCACCTATTGACTAGACTGGCTAGTAGAGGCTCAGAAATCTGTCTGTCTCTTGTCTCTTCCCAACATTAAGAATCAATGGAGTATTTTGGCTGACCAATAACCATCCACATTAGGTGTTAAATATTTATTGTCACACATTTACAAAATGATCTTAGCTTATGTACTATTTGTATGTAAAGTTGGACTATGAATGATAGGAAATCATCTATGTCTCATTGACTCTCAGGTACATGACAGTGGGGTAAGGGTGACATTGCAGCCTTGCAGTTGAGTCTCAGATGTCACTCCCAGCTTCAGCTTTGTTCACAAGTCTGCTACAGAGTGAAATGCAAACTCACATGAATTATAAGATGATTTTAAGTGAATGTTCTGTCTTTGGTGAGATATCGTACATGATTTTTTTTTTTTAGGTTTTCACTCTATACTATTCTAAACATTTAGGGGATCACACATCAGAGTCTCCGTAATCACTCTTCATGGTTTTCGACATAAAAAAAAAAAAACCTCAAAGAAAAAGCTCTAAGTGATAGAAACTTTATTTCCCCTTCTCTTTTGTATCTAAACTTACAGCAGCTCGAAGGTCAGTGGTCTACATTGTGGCTTCTCTGTGTTGAAGTGTTTTACTTCACTTGTATTGAAAGTATCTTTGTTTATTCTGTTAGCGTTCATATTTTTTCACTTAGTCCTTTACCAGTTTCTAGAAACCCACATGTTGGTATGATTTTCTTTTTAAAGAACATTTTAGAAAAGAATACTCTTATTATAAAAATGTCCTTCATGATACTTTCCATTTACAAATTTAAAAGTTCACATAAAAGTTGCTTAGGAATCAAAATTGGAAATCACATTCCTTTTCTCCTTTTGAGTCAAATTATAAAAGTACCATTATGCACTAAGTCAGGTGCCAAGTGGGTCACAGGTGCTCTTAACTAGATGGCATCTCAATGGAGGTTCAAACCAAACAAGGAGATCACTGACAAGCTAAGCAGGACACATGCTAAGTGACCTCAGCTGTGGCAAGCTGTATCCAGCCAGCACCTTGAGTCTACTAAAAGCTGTACCCTGATCTATGAAAGAATGAGGGAGATAAAGGCCTCACAGACTTACAAGACTCTAGATTCTCAATGTGTTTGACTAAAGTAGATTTTATTTTCTGGAATTCACATGTTAAGTTTTTTTTTTTTTAAGTAGAGCAAACCCTATAATTGAACATAAGTGCTGGGGCAGGTGAGATGATCAGTTAAGAGCACACACTGCTCTTGCACAGGAGCCGAGTTCAGTTCTAGCCCCTGCTTCTGAACTCAAAGAGGACCTGCGCTCATGTGTACGTACCAATACAGACACACACATAGGTACAGAGTTTTAAAATAACAACAGTAAATCTGGCTCATCTAATTTGATATTCTAATTTAATGGTAGCTATAGCCACCTTCTATGCTTACTCACGGCTTGTGTTTACGCTTCTGCATGATCATGCTTCAGCCTGAGGTTTTACGTTTTCAGTAAGAATAATTGCATCCCACCTTCTCCTTGGAGACTGTTAGTTGAATGGGTCCGTGTATATATAAGCTGATTGTGGCCCAGCACTCAGCTAGGCACTGATGGAACAGCTGTGAAGAGCACAGTCTGCTTCTACCCTTGGTACGCTCCTAAGACTCCAGGCACAGGAGCCTGGGCCAGGAAGCTAGACTAGCAATGGCCTTGAGTCCCTGAATAGAGTTGCTAGTCCAGACTATTCCCTCAGGGCTTCTCCTATGGTGTGTGTGTGTGTGTGTGTGTGTGTGTGTGTGTGTGTGAGGGATGGCAACACTTCCTACCTTCTGGTAGCCTGGACACTTGGGCAAACCACAAGCAAGTCAAGTAATTCTGTTGTTTTGTTGACAGGGACTTTAATCTTATAACCTTCACTCATAAGCATATTACCAAATAGTATTTTATGTAACATAAAGAAACTTCAGTAATAAGTGCTTTGAAGTTGATATCACAATATACCAACAGTTTAAGTAACTTGGTGAGCATGCATACAGTTTCATCAGCACCTGCTGGTGGCAGAACTATGGAGTGAATCTTGTCTGTTAGGCCTGTTGTCTGTGGCCTGACCTGAAGCCTCAAGGTGTCTGGGGCCTTGCACACTGCCTACAGCCTCCAATGCGGTTGTTTTCTTCCCACTTTAATGTTGGCAGATACTGCTAAAGATTATCAGATTGCTGACTTTAAACGGACTTCTAAACCATGCTTTATTGCCACGTATCAAAATACATTCTGACTAAAATCCTTTCTTTCTTTTACTGATGTGATCCGAATTCATTGGCAAGAGTTGTTGTGGCAAACTCTTTCCCACATATTTGTATCATTCGCTCTGAGCCATCTATTGTGAGCATGGCTGCAGGCTGTCATTTTTGTCCGGCATCCAACACTTGCTAGCCAAGTGCTGTGTGCTAGACTTGGTGTCAGTCACCAGGGGAGGAGAAGGCTGCAGTGCAGCCAGGCGTTCTGTTGTTCCCTTGAAATTAAAAGCATATGAAACAGAAACAGCTTCTTAAGGTTTTTTTCTTTATAAATAACATAAATTTAAATAACAAAACAATAAAATTCAAATACAACTTAAAGTAGAGTTTAATGCTGTAACCACGGGAAGGGGCGGAGGGAGCGTAATTATTTGTGGGAAGAACATAATTAAAAGTCGAGTTCCCAAATGTGAATTACACAAAAGATAGATATGTTACTGGAAAAAGAATTAAAGATTTCGGAATTTTATTTTTAGGGATTATAAAATGTTACTTTGTGGTGAGATGAAATACAGTATTATCATCATTATTGCTATTTTATATACAGATTTCTAAGCATCCTGTTAGCGATACCGTTTCAATTTGAGTGGCATTTAGGACTTTTCTCATGTTAATCAGTACAGGTATGTTCCAGTACTGTCATTTTGTAAATCCCCCTGTTGATTCCATTCTATAATAAGATGTCGAGAACACTCACTTTTCTGAGTAGAGCTGACATGGATTCTAGCTCTTACGGGAAAGCTCTCAAACACTGCTCGTCCTCTACAGTTTGCGTGGGCTTGATGATCCTCAAGCATTCCAGCAGGGTTAGGTCTGACATACCTTATATAACATCATCTGCATCACCATCGTCATTATTATAGCAGCCATTTTATAAGCAGATAGTGATATTAAATACTCATTATCAGATAGTCAAATCTAACATACTCTGAAGGGTAAATTAATTTAAGAAAAACATCACTATTACTAACATGATTGTACAACCACTTTTACAACTTTTTACAACTTTAGTTACTAAATCTGATTTTTGTGTATATTCTTCAACTCTTTCTTTAATGCAGTCTTTTAAAATAAACAAAAATGCGCAAGTCCAGCTTGATCAGTTTTCAGTAGTTTTCCAGCCTTTCTTGGTTACTTTAAAAGAGAGAAAGAGAAAGTAAGGAAAAAGAAGGAAGAAAAAAGTCCACTGGAAAGAAATCTCCCTGCTGAATGAAACTGGTTTCTCAAACACCACGTATGATTAGGTTATTGCCATAGGAAGAAAATGGGCCGTTTTTTGTTCTTTCTTCGTTTTCTTCCCTTTCACGGGAAGCCCCTTTTGGTTTAAGGCAACAAACATTTCCCCGCCACTGTGTGTCCATTTAGCTGATGCGTACGTGTTGTAATGGTTTTCCAGAATTAGTTCTTTGAAGTTGCAATCCTCATTGCATTCTTTCTGATAAAAACAAGCACAAGAAAAAAAACCAAACACAATTATTAAAACAAGTTCGGGGGGGGGGGGGGGACTCAAGCTAACAGCAAGCAGGTGGTGGTCTGTAGAGCTGAAGAGTGTGTGGTTTATTTTAACCCTCGGAGTGAGCAGAGCTGACACAGTTGAGTGGGTTTATCTATGTCATGTATTGCCGTGGATCAAATGTGCCTTAAGTTTAACAAACAATCGCATAACACACATTTAGTTATGTCCCTTTGGACAGCCAATTTCTACTCTTTAATGTTGGGAACCCTCAGTCACTCCATTCTTTGTCCACCGGAAATTTAGTGTAAAGGGTGTAGCCGCCACCTCCTGCAGGTGAGGAACTGTTTGATAACCTTTATTTCACTTTCTACCATGTTGCCCTCAATTGTAAACAAAAGTAAAAAGGTAGCCAGTTTGTTCATCCAAGGAGCCAAATCTTCGTTTAAGCCCCTGTTCTGTAGTTTGCCTGAATGGGCACCATGCAGTACTTCAAGAAGACAACGGAAGTGAATTTTGCTTTATATTAATGGATTGAACTGTCAAATATTTCACATCATCATAAAGTGGAAACTATGTGAATGCTTACAGTTCAAAGCCCATGATTGGGAGGCTGATGTTGATAAATGAACTGAACACTTCAAAATTTTTCCCCAAGAATTTTCAGTGTCAGCAATGTGCAAATCAGATGGAGTCTAACACAAAGAGCTTTAATACTCACAGATGGAAATTTTAGGCTTCAAGTATCTAAAGTGCACATGGGGGTTTACATAGAAAGGAACCTAGAGACCAGTCATTCCAAGTCATCTCACAGATGAAGAATCTATTATCCAGAGAGCCTAAGCAATCTAAGATCATACAGAAAATAGTTTGCCTCAATGCTGGGTTAAAAACAAAATGTTTTAATGGAATATCCAACTTGTAAAAATGGAAGAAATTAATTACAAAATACAGAAAGGCACATATTTTTGACAAAGATAATTTGAATAATAACTAAGTTATCAATTATTAATACCTTTGCGTAGAGTTTTCCTTCTTTATTCATTGCAAGATAGTATTCACTTTCCACCCCTTTGATTGCCACGATTCCGACTGCCACAGTCCTGATTTCCATGATGTCTGCAAGGAATCACAGAAGCGTATATGATTACCCACTGTTCTTGAGACCTTTTCCCCGAACACGCAGCCACAAACACCAGAGAACTCATTAAACATCGGCGTGCGAACTGATGACGTTTTGTTGCGCAGCAAGGCTATCTGCATGCAGAGAAATAGTTACATTATTCCTCCAGACCTACACTTCTAATATACTGTAGTGACAAAGCAGTTAATATTTGCTGGATTCACACCCTGAAAGAACCGCTCCCTCCCATGTATGGATGTGTCCAGTCATCACCACACACTGTGGGCAGGCATCCTTGCCACACCTACTTCCCTGAGGAGGATGCTGAAATACAGAGAAGTAAGGAGTCCGCCTATTTTATAAAATCAATGTTATTCAGATAATCTTGGTTTTTGTATATGATATGATAGAGGATCAGTGCCTTGCTCAGCCATCATCAGAGAAACTGCTTATAGTACATGGGAATTAACACAGAGACCCACAACTGGCCAGTGTACAGAGGGAGACTGTGCAATCCTAAATGGAATGTCTTCACCTACCCCCCACCCTCATGGCTCAGGGACCTATGCAGAAGAGAAGGCAGAAATATTGTTAAGAGGTGGAGGGGGACGGATGACTGCAAGGAAACAGTGTCTTCAGACGCAGCAGGACGGATGCACTCACGGACTCACGGAGACGGTGGCAGCATGCACAGGGCCTGCACTGGCAAGCCACGTGGATTTCCAGCAACTGAGAGAGAGAAGTAAACGGGGGCTCCTACCGTTACCTGTCCGCAACTGATACACACTGCCAAAGAAAAGATTCTCCAGTAGAGTGTCACTAAGCAAACAAACCACTCTCTAGGGCAGGCCCCATGCCCATGAGTAACTAATTAATTGGCCAACACAAAACTAACTCAGTGGTATTTTTGTAGATGTTTTGTCTTGTTTTGCTTGGTTTGGGTATTTTCTTTTTGTCTTATTGGTATTTTTCTTGTATATCTTTTTGTGGAGGAGTGTGTGTGTGTGTGTGTTTCATGGAGGTTTTGATTGTTTTTATTTGTCTGTTTCTAAAAGAGAGGAAGAACATGGAGTTAGGGCAGTGGGGAAGAGCCAGGAGGAGTTGGGGGAGGAGAAGTGTGTGATCCTAAAACTAGCCTAGTCAGTACTTGTCTTCTATGTGAACAGAAGCCCCTTTCCAATATGCCATACTCAGCAATAGTCAGATGCACCTAGTCCAACTGCATGTCTGATAGCTGGAGTCTGACACAAGAGCAAAGGGATATATATTTTGTGGTTTTGTGAAGCACTGTGGAATGCACAAAATCCTGTAAATTTAGGGAAATTCAGAACACAATTCTGCTTTATGAACTCAAACAGCAAACACTCCGCAGAAACATCTTACTTAACAGAGAAGAGCACTTTTTGGAGAACACTGGCCTGAAGAGGCTCTGGAAATTTTACACATCCCTGACAAGTTCGTGACAGGTGATGATGCTGACGCTGATGCAGTCACACAGCATGCAGCAAATCTTCCCTGAGAGCTCCTGTCATGCCTGGCTCAGTTCAGAGACAAGCACCTGCCTCAGGCTCTTATGGTTTTCTCTAAAGAAGACATCAAGGGAAGCCATGCAGCACCAGCAGAATCCCTTGGGTTAAACTGCTACTCCTGCTGTGAGGAACACTGAAGACGGCAATGACCGCACCACACTTGCAATACCTTCAGAGCAGCATTTAAGAATCTCTTAAAGCTGGGTTCTGAAGACCTTAGCACCGTGAAAAGTGTGCACCATTTTCCTGTTTTCCAAATGTTGTATTGTCTGAGAGACGCGAGTACTGATCCAGAGCCTGGAGTTCGGCATTCATGATCAGTTAGGATTAGAGGATGCCTCTGTGATGTTTGCAGGGTGTTCCTTCATGGGACATTTGTCCACAAAACCCAGCTGCTGAGTGAAAGTTATTGGTCCTGTGGTATGTGAACTCCTTGCCTTTTAGGGCCAGTCGTATTGGTTGTCCCCAAAAGCTCCTCTATCCCCTGACTATCCATCCCTTGTCCACTGTAGTTGTGGTTGCTGCCCTTTGACACGAATTGGTGATAGACACTGTTGATCTTATTCTTCCCCATATTAGGATTAAAGAGACGCAATGAAGAATTGGAAGGATTTTAGCTTGAAATGGGGCGACAATATACTTTAAATGACCATGTTGCTGTATTTTCAATTGTGTGACAGTAAAAAGAATTTTACATCTCGGGAAATGAACATATCTAAAAGCCATTTGGTGAGATAGCACTAGGAGGTATGGTCAGACATCAACCCTGATCATTTATTCTGCTCCACCCTGTCTGCTTTGCCCTTTTTTGAAATAAAAAAACTCAGGGAATAAAAATATTAACACTGTCACTTTTTTGTTCACATGCAGAGTAGGAATGATGTTCCTCTCAATATCTACAAAAATCTGTAGAATTATTAACTATGTAAACCTATAGAATTTTGTCTCCATCCCAAAATAAGAGTGGAGAAGATTCTCAAAAATATAAGAATATATAACTTACAAATAATAATTTATCTGTCAAAATAACTAAATTGTTTTTGACCTTGTAATATACAATAAATAAAGAATTTATACTGCTTCCAATAAGGAAAATACAAGATGGCATCTTTCTGTGAATCTCTGTTTCTGTTAAGAGTTTACTCATTTATCTCCGCTGAGGTGGTGAAGCATCAAACCTTTAACATAGGAAAGAGCTCAAAAACTGAGAGAGAGAAAGTGGGGGGGGAAGGAGGGAGGGGAAGAAAAGAAAGGGACAGAGAGCGAGAACATGAAAGTTAGTATATAATGCACCACATGTCTAGCCAACACCTTCAGCAACAGCATGGGTCATCATTTAGGGTGTCTAGCTTATGCACCAGGGGACAGTCAGTAAGGCCTTTTCTATTTCCAGAATTCAACTATTCATGGACTTATCAAGCCTTTTTTGCTCGTTTAATCTTGTGCCACACTTGGAAACAGAGGTGGAGACCTTGAAATAAATTGTTAAACAAAATTCTCCCAGTACCTATCTACTTGCAGAATTATGAATATTCCCTTAATCTTGTTTTCTCAATATTGATACTAGTTCTCTGTTTCTATTATCAATAGCTTCATGATTAAGAATACTTTAACTTCCCTTTTCAAAATTATTTTCAATAACCATATGGAAACCTGCCCCATCCCAGCATATTAATATTTATTTCCTAAGATTCTCTTAAGAATTATACTGTTTTAAAAGTTTTGAGGGGAGAACATATAAATATGGAGGAATAATACACATTTTGGAGATAAAAAAGTGGTTTGTTAGACTAATCAGAACATTTAATTTTGTCTTTGATCAAGTATACCTTCTTGCACACATTAAAACTAAGAACTAAAAAGAAAGAAACAAAAACAATTCTAATGTTAAATAATTAACTTTTAGAATATTCTGCCAAGATTGTGTTGAGTGAGAAATATCTTAATGGCTGAATATATAACATTTAAAGGTTTAGAATTAATTTGATAATAAATTCTATGACATAAATTCATGTTTTTAAAATTATATCCATTATCTTTAAAAGAACCAAGAACTTTAAAAATATAATAATAAACATTACTAAAAGTAGATAAGCTATCTGAAGAAATGGTAGCAGATGAATGGGAAAGGTGCCATATCCTGTCACTAGAGAATGAAAACAACATTGAGGTCCCCCTCACAGCCATTAGCATGACAAAGCCCGACAGCCCAGGGCACATTGGCAAAGATGGAACACAGCCCAGACTCCTCCTAGGTATTAGGAACACAACGTGCAGTCAACTTGGAAGACACTTTGGCCTTTTCTTAGGAACGGAAGACAGAGAAGCCTTGTGCCAAGGCACTTACCCTATTGAGTAGAAGACATGTTCACACAGAAATCGGAGCATGAAGGTTTAAAGCAGTGTTACATGTAAGAGCTAGAAAGGAGAGACAACCAAGGTGTTCAAGAGAGAAATGAATAGCCAGACTGCTACATCCATTATCCGGAATGTTATTTAAGTGTCTTTAGAACTCAGTAGCAAGCCACAAAAAGACATGGAAAAAACTTACATGAGCATGACGTATGAAAGCAGGGGATTTTTAATCAGTGGACTGTTGTACAGGGCTGTAATGGCAGATACATTTTATTTTGCATTTGTCAGAATTCCTGGCATTGCACAGGACAACAAACTAACAACATGTATTTAAATATTGGTGGGAGGAAATATACACCATTCCAAGACATTAAAATAGTGGAACCATGATACCTCTGCTCGCTGCTCAAGTTGTCTGCAATTCTATAATTGACTGAAAAATATAAGTTTTTAAATTGCAATTTTAATTTTTTAAAGTTGTACTCAAAAATTTCATTAATTGTATACAATGACAGACTGTAAAGAGACTACTTATATGAAGATCTTAAGTATTTGTTCTTGTTCCAAGTACATAGTGCATATGGGGTTTGTTATGAATATTGTCTTGGATGATAGATTAAGATCTGCTTATCAAATGAATTGTTTCTTTTGTAACACATAAACAGCTCTGAGTACTTATGAAGCAAATGCACATTGGTAAGTGTAGAAGGCACCAACTCTCTATGTGTGAGAAGACCACTATTCCACTCATAAGTGTGCTTGTCTCTTAAGTGTTGGGGTGAAACGTGAGAGTCAATAATATTTTAGAAACTTGAACCATGACATTAATTATGCAGTCATTGAAATACTTTGGTATTAATAGAGTGACTATCAAATTTCAGTTCAGATTTTCTCTTTCTGCAGGCAAAGATAAGTGATACCCAGCAATATATGCCAATTGCTTAAATTCATGGAATGGAAAAATCAATTTGATAGGAATTAAAAGCCAAGAAATGTTATCCATGGTGAAGAAGGATCATAGGATCTGAATAGTGATCACATTTAAATCAAATCTTAACTGATGGATAAGGCTAATGTGTAGACAAGAAGAAAACAATGCAGTTGAACACTCA